GGTGTCCTGCGTAGGACACACTGGCTCCCAAGTCCTGGAGTTGTCCTGCCCTCCCCCTCTACAGTGATATTTATTAATGTAAACACAAAAATACAATTATTTTCATCAAATGCTCAATAGGAGCTGATTCCTACATGTTATACTCCTGTCAGTGCGAGCTATAAGATGGTTACAGGTGTGTGTGTGTGTATACTCACCTAGTTGTACTCACCTAGTTGTGCTTGCGGGGGTTGAGCTCTGGCTCTTTGGTCCCGCCTCTCAACTGTCAATCAACAGGTGTACAGGTTCCTGAGCCTATTGGGCTCTATCATATCTACACTTGAAACTGTGTATGGAGTCAGCCTCCACCACATCACTTCCTAATGCATTCCATTCCATTAGTGTGTGTGTGTGTACTCACCTATTTGTGCCTGCAGGATCGAGTGTTGGCTCTTGGATCCCGCCTCTCTAGCCTTCGGCTGTTTAAAGCAATAACCCTGTCCTTCTTCCCTATCATACCTAGTTTTAAAGCTATGAATAGTGTTTGCTTCCACAATGTGCTTCTTTAGTTCATTCCAATTCCCCCACTACTCTCACGCTAAAAGAAAACCTTCTAACATCTCTATAACTCAACTGAGTTTCCCAGGTTCCACCCATGTCCCCCTTGTACTGTTGGTATTCCGTGTGAACATTTCGTCTATCTCCACTGTGTCAATCCCCCCCCCCCCCCCCCGAGTATTTTCTGTGCTGACCACCCTTCTCTTTCTTGTTTAATCTTTGTCACCTGATCGTAGAATTCTATTAAACCATTGAGGCAAGATTTACCATCCTTGAACCCATGTTGGTGGTGTGTCACGAAGTCCTTTCTCTCCAGCTGTGCTACTACTCCAGATGTGCTACTACTCCAGATGTGCTACTACTCCAGATGTGCTACTACTCCAGATGTGCTACTACTCCAGATGTGCTACTAGGTTTTTTCTCACTATCTTCTCCATCACCTTGCATGGTGTACAAGTTAAGGACACTGGCCTGTGGTTCAGGGTCTCTTGCCTATGTACTCACCTAGTTCTGCTTGTGGGGGGTCTGCCCGAAACGCTGCGCGTACTAGTGGCTTTACAAGACTGTAATTACCATGTTATGTATCCTCACATTCACAATGTACATTCTTGTATATGCATAAATAAATAAATAAATAAATAAATAAATAAATAAATAAATAAATAAATAAAATAAATAAATGATTCTTTAAATTTCTAAAGCCAGTTCTGATGTTAGCCAGCCTCGCATACACCGCTGATAATATCCTTTTGATGTGGGCTTCAGGAGACAAGTTCGATGTGATAACAACTCGTAGATTTTTGTTATTTTCATGGAACCTTCGTCTGCCATTGGGTACCTTGTGTCTGGCCTCCTGCTCCCTCCACCTTGCTTCATTACTTTACTTTTCCTTGAGTTGAACTTGAGCAGCTGGAATTTTCCTTCTTGGACTATTCCTTCAGTGTGTTCAGATCATTTTGTGGCCAATTGCTGTCTTCCTCCGTCTTAATCAAACTCATAATTTTCGCATGCAAAATTCTCTGCTGATGTTCTACTAGTTTTTTTCACAGTCTTCTCCGTCATTTTTGCGTGTTATGCATATTTGGAACAATGCTTTCAGTCTGTCTCCCATCTTGTATATCAGGACTACATTAGCCATTTTTCACATTTTTGGCAGTTCTCCTGTTATAAGTGAAATCACTGCTACTACAGCTTTTGGTCCTTCCATCGTCATGGTACCTGTTAGGAAGTCTCTGAACCTCTCCTAGCCTGGGATAACCAAAGCAAAACTCCATTTCTTTCTAAACAGTAGGGCCACTCCGCATCCTCCCCTTCCTTCCCTCTATTTTCCTTAATACAATGTAGTCCTGGGAGAAACACCGCATTTGTTATGATGCCTGACAGCTGTGTTTCAGCGAGTGCCATTACATCCGAGTTCTCCGGGTGTGATCTTTACCCATGTTCACTTACTTGGTAACTTCATCTGTGTTTGAGTACATTACTTTGAAGCTGAGACTCTTCTGTCCAGTCTCAGCTACCATTAATGTACCTGGAATAGGTGGGGGGAGGAAGGATCATCTGGGATTGGAGGGATAGGAGAGACTGGGATTGGAGAGCTGTGAGGGGCCAGGGTAGGTGGGATTGTGTGTGTGTGTACTCACCTAGTTGTACTCACCTAGTTGTACTCACCTAGTTGTGCTTGCGGAGGCTGAGCTCTGCTTTTTTGGCCCGCCTCTCAACTGTCAATTAATCAACTGTTACTACTAGCTATTTTTTTCAGTTAGAACAGCTGTCTAACTCCCAGGTTCCAATTTACTGATAGGTAACAGGGGGCATCAGGGTGAAAGAAACTCTGCCAATTGTTTCTCGCCGGCGTCGGGAATCGAACCCGGGCCACGGGATTACGTGTACAGCGTGCTGTCTACTCAGCTATCATGCTCGTGTGTGTGTGTGTGTGTGTGTGTGTGTGTGTGTATACTTAGCCCTGCTGTGTGTGTATTTACCCGTCTGTGTCCGTATTTGCACGTGAACGTTCTTGCATGACTGTGTGTATAGCCTTGCCTATATCATCTACCTAATACTGACACCACAATCATCGTGGTCTGTCCAGGTTGGGTTTGTCCGTGCCGTGGGGTGTCCGTGCCGTGGGGTGTCCGTGCCGTGGGGTGTCCGTGCCGTGGGGTGTCCGTGCCGTGGGGTGTCCGTGCCGTGGGGTGTCCATTTGGGGGTGTCCATGCCTTGGGGTGTCCGTGCCGTGGGGTGTCCGTGCCGTGGGGTGTCCAGGTGGGGGTGTTGTTCTTCTCCTCACAAGTGTTATTTTATCATTGATTGCATTTTTTGTGCTCGTTAAATCTTGTATCACCATATCGTCGGGACCATTAATTGATAACTTGTTAATGATCAGAGTATCAAGTCAGGATTTTCCGAGATGCTTTTTCTTCAATTTTTTGGGGACTTGGTCTAGCCTTAAAATGGCCTCCCCAGCCACACAAGGCCTAAAAGGTTGTCTCCACATGTTGTTTAATGGCAGATTATACAAGACACGCCGGCCGGGACGGTCATACAAGCTAGGACCGGCCATTCTTTCCACTCACGCCAAGAGCAAACCAGATGCTCATCTGTCAGTGTCTTCCTTGGGTGTGGTCTGGAATCCTGATGTCAAAGATGACAATGTTCATTGTTCAAACCGCTAAACCAACGATGCAGCAGGTTCCTGAGCACCCCAGACCTCGGCCCTCATCCCGGTGGGTGCTGGTCCAGGACGGTCACAATGGGAGCTCCCCAGACCTCGGCCCTCCCGGTGGGTGCTGGTCCTGGCTGGCCACAATGGGAGCACCCCAGACCTCGGCCCTCCCGGTGGGTGCTGGTCCTGGCTGGCCACAATGGGAGCACCCCAGACCTCGGCCCTCCCGGTGGGTGCTGGTCCTGGCTGGCCACAATGGGAGCTCCCCAGACCTCGGCCCTCCCGGTGGGTGTTGGTCCTGGCTGGCCACAACGGGAGCTCCCCAGACCTCGGCCCTCCCGGTGGGTGCTGGTCCAGGACGGCCACAATGGGAGCACCCCAGACCTCGGCCCTCCCGGTGGGTGCTGGTCCAGGACGGCCACAATGGGAGCACCCCAGACCTCGGCCCTCCCGGTGGGTGCTGGTCCAGGACGGCCACAATGGGAGCACCCCAGACCTCGGCCCTCCCGGTGGGTGCTGGTCCAGGACGGCCACAATGGGAGCACCCCAGACCTCGGCCCTCCCGGTGGGTGCTGGTCCTGGCTGGCCACAACGGGAGCTCCCCAGACCTCGGCCCTCCCGGTGGGTGCTGGTCCAGGACGGCCACAATGGGAGCACCCCAGACCTCGGCCCTCCCGGTGGGTGCTGGTCCTGGCTGGCCACAACGGGAGCTCCCCAGACCTCGGCCCTCCCGGTGGGTGTTGGTCCTGGCTGGCCACAACGGGAGCACCCCAGACCTCGGCCCTCCCGGTGGGTGCTGGTCCAGGCTGTGCATCACAATGCCAAGTTTGGCGTGACTGTGTGTTAAGCAGTGTTTATATATTTTTTCTTTCTCCTTTGACCAAGTAATACCTCACAGTGTGTGCGTGGGCGGGTGCACATTGGCTACTAGACTTCAATTGCCATTACCTTGCATTTCTCTGAACTGAAGAAGAAGCAAGGAGATTCATATTGAATATTATGAAATGAAATGTAGACGACTGCATGAAACAACAATATGGAAGGACTTGGAGGTTGACATAACCCCCGTCGCTTGGCATCAGTAAGGTAATCAACCCATCAAGAGAAAGCCCCATAAGCGGGAGTTGAAAAAAATATATATGTGAAACAAATTAACACATATTTAAAAAATGTGTGGTACTGCAACTCACACATATGAAAAGAATGTGTGGGTTCAGTTACGTATTATTCACAGATCCTCCTAAAATAGTACTTGTAGTAGTAACTTTGGTGGAACACACCAATACCTCGTGATGGGCCGCCAGTACACCACTTTTTTTTTACCATTAATTTGACAAAGTCCAGACACTTAAATAATCCTGGGCCTGTTACTAGTGCTATAGAGAAGAGAATCGTGTGATGTTTGTGATCAGTGAGGACCTCTTGCTAACTTACGATAGCCGATACATGCATCGGTACCATCCTGCACCCCTGGGGTGGTGCTGGGGTCCGTCCCTGGGGTGATGCTGGGGTCGACTCTGGGTTTATGGGGTCATTGGAGTTGAGACTGTGTTGTGGTTGACTCTCCCACTTGGCAAGCAGCTGGGGAATCCGCTCTGGATTGTCTTCGAATACTTTTTCTTGAATTTATCTTTGCAGAATATTTTGTTTTAAATTATATATATATATATATATATATATATATATATATATATATATATATATATATATATACATATATAATTGTGTGTGCGTGTGTTGTTATAACAATAATTATAATAATATTGATAATCTTTACAAGAATTTTTTTTTTTTGCAGGTCGCTGACTTTGCTGAGGTTGCCGCCACAAGACCCGTCAACACCACCACCTCGCTCCTGTCTCTCGTCTCTCTTATCCACCTGTCTAGTCACCTCATCCATCCCCTTCCTGCCCTGGCGCCCAGGAGCACATCACTATACTCGAGCATAGCCACCGTCCGTCCCCCCGGCCCACGGACCAGCCGGCCAGCCAGCAGCAGCAGCCCCCCACCACCACCACCACTCCCACACGCTACTTTACACTTCCAGTAACAACGCCAACATTCCGGACCCGACGCAGTTTGTCATTGTTGGCCATCATCAGCAAGAGACCGCACACTTGGCCATGCGGCCGCTCCAGCAATAACCTTTCCAGATCGGTAAAAATTACAGGGGTTTTCTGGAAAGTAGCACGCTTGGAAGACCTGCTGGAACCCGTTGTGTTATCAGGTGAAGAGCCACGAGCTCTTCTGCTCTCTTCCAACTGGTCAATACACTGTTTATGATACTTGAAGAAAGAAAAGGCAAAAAAAAAAAAAAAAGCCAGACACCTCGTTCATGAATAGCCAAGGTTATCGGGGTCTTCACTGGACAGAAAAACCCGTCCTTGCGTCCAGCTCAGACGTCCAGTTCTTTGATGTGGACGCCAGGGTGCAGATGGCTGGGCGATAGTGTCTTGAGTCGTCCTCAAGGTGGACGCCTGTCATCACCTCCCGTCACCCGAGGGACACGTTAATTGGCCCCCGTCCACACACTTCAAGTGTCCAGTGAAGGAGGAACTACGGGAGTCCTCAGGCTAAATTATCTATACAAACATTGTAATTTATGATATACAGCTCAGATAAGCGGCTTGATGACGGTCAATTTATACTCTCCAATGGTGAGATAAAAAAAAGAAATTAAAGCATATATATGGTTAAGGAAGTTGTGGTTATTGAACTGGTAAAAGTGTCATGTGGTTACGGGTGGTTGACGGCAGCAGCGTTGCTTAACCTTTTTGGTACAGTTTGTTTGATATAATCCCGACCAGCGGATGAGCGCTCACCATCCAGTGACTACACGGGAGTGAGGTCTAGCTCCTGGTGACCGGCTGACTAGCCTTGTGTTTAGGCTCCGCAAAATACTGTACCGCCAAATTCCCCTCATACAGATTACAGTTGACTCGCGCCGTTTTGTATCTTGTCAACGTGGCCCTACCCTCACCCCCCTCCCCCTCCTCCCCACCAACTCAACCCCTCCTGCCCATCTACCAGCCCACAACCACCACCCAACCACCTGCCCATCTACCAGCCCACAACCACCACCCAACCACCTGCCCATCTACCAGCCCACAACCACCACCCAACCACGTTACCACCGACCCATCACACCCACCTCGCCTTGATCTCACCTCACCTCTCTGAAAACAAGTGAAGGCTTCGCCCAGGGGAGGATGGTGGGACGTGGCGCCCGCGAAGGTCCTCCAGATCAGCAGTAGCCACGCTTCGCCACCACCCTACACCTCGCCACAACCCGACACTTCGCCACCACCCCTCATCTCGCCACCATGTCCAGCTCCCACTCCTCGGGGTCGTCAGGTGGGCGGGTGCCAGGAGCGTGGCCCCACCCGGTGACCGCCGCCCACGCCCTAACACCCAAAAACTTGCTGCGTCTTCACAGCCTTCCCATCGCCGCCCACCTCCACACGCCCACAGCGCCGCCCGGCCTCGACCTCTCCCGCCCTCTACTGCTATACACCAACTACACCTCGAATAAGGTTGGTATACAACCTCTACATTCTTGTACATGTGTGTGTGTATACGTTGGTATCCACATAGGAAAATGAAACGAGAATTCCCCACGTTTTCGTGTTTCAACACATTTTCAAGAATACAGCAATAGTTATAACTTCAAGTTATAATATTAAAAAGATAATGGTAATAAAATAATCTTCAAATGCTCATCTATATATATATATATATATATATATATATATATATATATATATATATATATATATATATCTACATTTGGGTGAGGTGGATGAGGTGAAAAACGAACTTTCAACAATGGGTATTCAATGGGTATTAAATTCCAACACATCAAGAAATATGGACCAATAGGCTTTCTACAATTACTTCCATTCAATACCCATTGTTTCGTGTTCTGTCTTGTGTTGGAATATATATATATATATATATATATATATATATATATATATATATATATATATATATATATATATATATGCGAACAAGCCTGAATGGTCCCCAGGACTATATGCGACTGAAAACTCACACCCCAGAAGTGACTCGAACCCATACTCCCAGGAGCAACGCAACTGGTAACTACAGGGCGCCTTAATCCGCTTGACCATCACGGCCGGACAAAAGGAAGTGATAGCCGAAGCTATATGAACCACTTCCCCTCCGGCAACTCGGATGGTAATCTTGGGCATAGCATTTTATCAAATCACCTCATTCTTTGGGGCACACGTGAGGAACACAAATGCGAACAAGCCTGAATGGTCCCCAGGACTATATGCGACTGAAAACTCACACCCCAGAAGTGACTCGAACCCATACTCCCAGGAGCAACGCAACTGGTAACTACAGGGCGCCTTAATCCGCTTGACCATCATAGCTTTTATATATATATATATATATATATATATATATATATATATATATATATATATATATATATATATATATATATATATATATATATATATATATATATATATATATATATATATATATATATATATATAAAGAATATCCGTTCAAGGTGATGGAGGCCAGACGCTGGCAGCTAGCCTCACCTAACTTTGCAGGGGAAATGGTCTCGGGTGTGGAACACACCCGAGACCATTCCCCCTGCAAACACAACATAACGGTCCCTATGATTCCCTGGTTAAAACTTGTAATAAAGTTGTTACATCCTGTTATAACGTTTTAATGACGTATTAGAATGTTGTTACAACGTGCTATATATTGGTTGTTACAATTGTTAGGTGTTAAAACGTGTTCGAACGTTGCAGCAATGTCGTAGTTTCTTCGTGTGGGGGTCACCAGAATTTAAGAGGGAACAGCTTGCTAGGGGGTTACATTCTGACCCCCCCCCCCCCATGTCTATTTTTGGCACTGTCAAAAAAGGCTGCCACGGCCACTATGGATAAAATGGCTTTGAAAATTTTTGTTTATAATAGTAATATACAAAATTATTCGCTTGGGATAAACAAATCATTTTCTGCTATTCATACTTTGGCTGTAGTCGTATAAAACAGACCATCTCCCACAGCTTCAGAGGCTCTCTCAAGCCCAAAGTCCATTTCCTGAAGCAAACTATTATGCTAAATATTTCATACTGCTTGGCTCCAACACGCGCTAATGGGAGACTATTATATTGTTTTTTTGAGCGTAATAGTCAGGGAAAAAGACACAGACGCATACACAGAGAAGGACAGAGACCAACAAAGACTGGAAGAGAAAGAATTAGAAAGACCGGGGGGGGGGGGATGTTTGAAGAAGGGGAGGAGATACGCGGAGATGGGGGTGGGCAGGGAACTATCAGGAGAAAGCGCCAAGCCATCACGACTATATAGCCCTTGGAAGGGGCCAGGATAAGGATTTGGGATGGGACGGGGGGGGGGGGAAGGAATGGTGCCCAACCACTTGGACGGTCGAGGATTGAACGCCGACCTGCATGAAGCGGGACCATCGCACTACTGTCCAGCCCAAGTGGTTGGGCATAGAGGTGAGAAGAGGTGAGAGAGGGTGGATAGGGGGCAAGTAGTGTAAGAAGGGAGAGAATCGTGGAGATGGAGAGAGGGGGATAAGGAAACTGAAGAGAGAGGAGGAGATTTGGGAGAGAAGAGGAATGAGACATCCCTGGCCCAGCCGGGTATTCCCCCCCCCCTAGTTTATTTCTATAAGTGAGAATGTCTGTCTGTGTGTCAAATGTTGGAGGCCAGGCGCTTGGGGCTAGCCTCACCCAGCTTTGAAGGGAGAATGGTCTGGGGTACGGGACGGACATAGGCTGGTAGCGGCCGGTCTTATTGATCCTATTATGAGGAAATGGACCCCAATAGTGACCCATCCTTCCACATATTTGGTGAAAATTCCAAGCATACTAATTTGTTTATAAATACCAGACTACATCCTCTCTAAAATTCATTAAGCACATTATTTTCGACATTAAATGTTAGTTTGTCTTATGTAGTTTATTAGTGAAGAGTAAAGATGATAGGTGGTTAATAAAATGGTAAATGGTGAAGGGTGAGGTGAAGATGTGGTGCATTATCACCCGGGTCACGCCAGGTTCCCTCTAGTATACATAATGTAACGGGTTCTCCACACCCTTGGGTACCCGTCGCATTCACACGTTCGTATTTAGTCGTCTGAAGTGGCGTTCGAGTGTAACGAAAGTGTCGCTGTATGTTGAGCGTTGAAAGGCAGTTTGTTTCACGTATGGTAATTCCTGAACTGAAGAAACAGTGTAATTTGCGTAGGAGCTAGACGAGTGGAGATGTCAGGTTCTGTCGAAATCAGAAGATCTCAACATTACTTGAGGTTATCTTGCCTTTCATCTGCTTCCAGGTATCAAAATGCCCCCACACTATCGAACCCTCCCAGTTCCTCCACCTTCAGGCAGTTCAGTCATAACACCAACCCGGAAGGGAAGGACAAGGACTCCTTGTATCAACCCTTGCTTGTTCCCTTTACCTTATCTTTATACCTAATGATGAGCTGTTTGTGTTAGCTTGGCTGTGGGATGCGCCTTCCCTTACAGCACGGTGAAAGTAGCGATGACCTAGCAGGCCGATACCTGACCTGAAATGTTGTGACATATTAGGCTGACGTGTTCCGATCTCGGTATGACAGTAATGACATTAAGGCTAACTTGTGGCTTGGTACCGGCAGGTCCGGGGCGTGTCGCTGCGGCCTGGTAAGGACGGTGGACTTACCCCTGTGGGACCCGCCATCGTCATCCCAGAGTCCTACACAGGTGAGTAATTACTGTGAGGCTGCTGGCAATAAGTGAGATAGAGTGAGCGAGATAAAGGCTATTCATTTTGACGGGTCCAAGCTGCTAATGGACAGATAGATGTGAGTAGTGCCAACATTACTTAAGACGTCTGTCTTGTTCTTGTCTCTGTATGGAACCTCTTTGTTTATTCAGGGAGAGAATATATCAAGGTATGAATATGCTGGGAGTGAATGCAGTGACGGCCAGAGAGATAGCTTTATCAAATATACGGAATTTGCTCATTAAGGAAGGTGTGCCTGAGCACTATCGCCTCGGCAGGCGATAGGGACGCCATTAAGCGACCCTTCAACCCTAACCTCCACCTTGCCCCCCTCAGGATGGTTCGCCATAGTGACGAGCGATGGCCACACGGCTCCGTTCTTCTCCACCGTGGAGCAGGTCGTCAGCAGCCAGCTCTCCTTCTTCCTCACCCGCTATGACGTCCCGGCCTACACCAACCTGCACAACGGTGAGCTGCAGTGTTCGGCCTGCAGTTCAATTATACTCTGCTACAGTCAATTGCCAGTATTATTATTACAACACGTGCATGACAACAACTTATTGCTCATTACACTAACCTAGAGAACGCGCGGAGTTATCTTGGCTATGCATTTGAACAAAATATGAAAATACTATTCCTCCATGTTACAGTATATCTTTTTCATCACAGAAAATGGACGCATGACGTATCAAAAAACGGTGGTGCAGAGTGGACACGTCTTGAAGCTTCTCGGGATCTTTGAGGATCTTAACGCCAAGAAGACCAACAGCGGAGGCCGAGGTCGTGACGCTGCCTTCCTCTTCAACTGCAGCAAATATGCCCAGTGCCTTAACTACAAGAATGAGGTAAGTCTAAGAATGTAAGAATGTTGGTGAATAATTGATAATTATGTTCTTCAGGAAGAGAAATATAAGTTTACTGCCGTGTCTCTTACACAAACAGAAATGCACGCTGTTCTGTAATTTCCAGGTTGTGTTCTTGCCGTTCTCTGCCTCTGGTCGGTTCTACACGACGGCCCACAAGACCAGCAAGAACCCCAACCACGTCTACCTTATGGCCCACATCCTCAAGAACCATAAGCTGCCCCTCACCGTCCGCCTTGTTTGTGGCTACATGCCTCGCGTCCCTTGTAGCTTTACCGGTAGGTGGTCGCTTGTAGCTTTACTTGTAGATTGTAGCTTCCATATTTACTGGAAAGTGGTGTCTTGTATTAATAGCTTCATCCTTGCTCCGTCATGACGAGTACTGGTCTAACTGGTGGTCACACTGCAGGTGTGCTGCGTCTGGAGCAGGCGCAGAAGGAGGCGGTGATCTTGGCGTGTACCATGACCAACGAGGCTCAAGCCACGCTGTTCGAGATCGACGTGTCGTCCAACTTCGTGCTGACGCCGGTAAAGGACCCGATATTCCCCAAGACGCCAATTTTCCTCAAGACCGTCTCGTACTGCGAGGACGAGGCCTACGCTTGGAGGAGGCAGATCAAGGTGGGCCTCGACTGGATCTCTTAGTGCATGATTTGTCCTCTTCCGGTACTTCTCAGTCCTCCTGCTCCTCCAAAACTATAAATTTCTACTGAATATTGAATCTTGGAAGACTTTTTGTTACTTGAATATAAAACTATTGGACGTCATACAATTTATTTGAATATCTAACTACACTTATAAATATATATATATTCCTCTTGCGTCTTTAAATTCCACATAGAGGAGTGTAATCGTTTATTAATGAGTATCTTAGATCTCTGCGATAATAACCCTGACGTGGTTATGAATCTTCACTATGATAAGGAATCTTCAATAAGATATATTTCCTGTTACAAGAACTTTTTCTCCGACATATTCAATAATGTTCGACTGTTAGCAATTGTTACCAAATTACCAATTGTATTATTCTCAACCAATATAACCTATTTATAAGAAACAAAGAAGTCATTACTTTACAAACAGTATATTCTCCAGTGAGCATTTTCTCACGAAATGTTAAGAAAGGTAGAAACAGAAAACAGTTTTGTTCAGATTGTCTACAGTAAACTTGTTCACTGAGGAGATCCGATATGACTGATCTGATGACTGGTTCTGCTGAGCCACGTCAATGTCTACCTCCAGTTCTCGCTCACAATCGTCATATTCGTGTCTTAAAATTTAAAATTTATTGGGCAAAGTTGTTCGACTTCCTTACCAAGTTAAGGTTGACAAGAAATATCAAGAGATTCGGACTAGAATATTTGATCTAATCCTTTTGGTTATATTCAACAGTACGCGCACGCGTGTGCACACGCAAGCACACACACACACACACACACACACACATATATAATAGATTACATTTTCCTAATAACGTAATAGGAGAAGGTGCACAGGGGTGTGGAAAATTGAACTGAAATTTATTAATTTATTTCATTATTTATAATAAATATTGTCATAATAATTATCTATTATTTTAATGTATTATTTATTTTAATGGAGCGTATTATTTATAATAATAGAGGTTGAAGTTCAACCATCTTATTATCCAGTTAACTAACACCTTAAAATAGCTATAAAACTAACTATCTTTTCCCCCCCGGCAGGTGACGCACCACGTAACAGAGAGACGTTCCAAGTCTGTGAGCCGTTCCATCAGCGACACCTTCTTGCAGCATCCAAGACATCTAAACTTCGCCTTCCTGGCCGACCACGACCGCAAGAAGGCGAGAGGCCGCGACAAGTCGAGGGACCGCCTGGCCGGCCTCCGTGTCCTCGACAAGACCCGAGACAACAGCAAGGAGAACCTGCTTCGCGCCTCAAGCAGGGACAGGCTGACGGAGAGAAGTAGGAGCAGGCTGCAGGACAAATGTAAACAGCTTGTGAGAGAGAAGGATAAGCAACAGGACAAGACTACAGACAAACTGCAAGAAAAGTGCCCCAGCAAGGTGAACGGGAAGACCCATGACCAGAGGAAGTTGTCGAAGCAAAACACGTACATCTTCCAGAACCTCCGGAGCAGCAAGGCCCAGGAGAAGAGGCAAGAGGCCGACGCAGTGAGGAGACTCAACAAATCCATTGAAAACTTGGACTATTCTCGGGTCGTGGACGATATTAGCCCATTACAAGGCGGAGGAGACGACGACGACGAGGAAGAGGAGGAGGAGGAGGAGCAGCATTATGCAGAAATTTGCGACATCATCAATAAAAGCGGAGTGACAGGCATGCAAGATGGCAATAAACGCGAAAAGAGAAAATCGATCGGCGACCGAGAGCACTCCATCCACGATCTCCAGCCCAGCGACGCTGACAATAATTTGTGTTTCACTCTATTGAAAAAAGACATCGGTGGCTACTATGTGTCGATTCCCGGGTTCGAGGTGCCCAAAGAAGATTTCGATCCTGCAGCAGTCGATGACGAAGACAGGAGTTACGATTCCCTTTGTTAAGACATCCGCTAGTGTTGTTCTCTCAAAGTCTCCCCGACCGGCTCCACAGGTCGTTTGAACGTGTCGTTTATATCCTGTAGGTTATGAGACTTCGACAGTGTACTTAGACACGTGAACACTTCGACAGTGTACGTAAAGTGTCAAAATGTAATTTGTTCCTCTTTTTATGTAATTTTCTTTTTTAATGTAATTATATATGAAAAACAAAAAAACACTCAAACCAATTAAGAATATGCCTGAGCGCTCACACGTGTTCAAGGCATAAAACTAACGTGTGGATGAATACTGATAGCACTCGGTGAACTTTGTTTCAATGTGAAGTTTTTGCATCAATATAAAAAAAAAACTCATGCAAACAGCGTGTGTGTGTGTACGCGCGCGTGCGCTACTATTTTTTTAATACATTTTAATGTATTTTTAATGACAAAAGTGGCTTTAACGAGCAAGAAAAAGCAGGTGTAGCAGTATTGTTGAAAGTGACGCTTGAAGCACAAGAGGAACCCGACAGCCTCATGAAGAATTAAGTGTGGTTTAAGTGCCTCGTAGAATCAACTATCTCATTCATGTGTTACTTTTTATGACCTGGTGGAATTTTGTACCCGCTTTTGTAAACGTTGATGCGGTAGCCCCCATGGATATATTACAGGAAATAATCGATTGCGCTAAAAAAAATCTTGATTTTTTGTTCGTCGGAAAACCGGAAATTATAATATCTAGTCAGTGTTCATCTTTGTTTAATCATTTGTAGAGCTTGTTTATTCTGTACAGTGGTATAGTAGCTTGGGCTGTGGAAAGATTTAATCAGAACATGACATAAATGTACGTTGATGGGAACCTTTGAACAGCAGTAGTGATGCGTGGAGAGAGATGGACGTCTCAAAGCCTACTTAGGATGGTTCCTCTCGCAGCCTACTTAGGGTGGTTCCTCTCAAAGCTTACTTTTGGTGGTTCGAAGAAAATAGGTGAATTGCTGTAATAATTTCCACACCAGACAAGTCAAAACGCCTTCAAATAAACTTACTAATAAAGAGGAAGATTCGCGACGTTTACAAATGAATTTACAACCAAGATGAGAATTAACTGTGATCAGCAAGGTATTATTTTTTTAGCGTAATTTTCTGAATAATTATGTGAAATATGTCAGTTAACCAAACTATGAGAGGCACTTGCAGACTTTCCCATCCTAACTCAACAATGTCTCAAACATCTGGGCGTGTGCCACATACTGTAAGATATTGATGCTATCATGTTAGACTCTCGTTAATAACATGAGCACCCACATCTCCAGCCCAGATGCTGACTATTAAGAGCTGTCTGCTTCTCTCCAATGCAGCCTCAAGCCCAAGTCTAGAAACAAAATTTCATTATCGCGAGGTGTTAAAATATACATAAAAACCATATCGAGGTGTTTAATATTAAAGAACACATTTTTATTAACACTGGCTTTATCTCATATGTACTTGTCAGAGTACACTTTATATCTGACTCGTGAAGCAAAGTATTTATTTCTACATGATATTCCCTTAAACGTGCTTAACAATCTATGCGTTCCTTATTGATTATTCTTTCTATACATATTGGGGTTTATCGCTCTATAAATCGTGGGGGTGGAGGTGGGAGGATTGACGTGGGCCCAGCCTGGTTACCCTCAGCCCCGCCCATCCTTGCTAGGCAATATTCCAGTGAGTTTTCATCAAAACATCACCAATACCCGTGTTGCGAGTGAAAGTGATCAATACCTGTGTATTATGAGATATCCGAGTGAATGTGATCAAATACCTGGGTCATGAGAATATTTCCAATACCTGTATTAATATATCCGACATATGAGAGATGATGACAAGTCCATGTTGTGTGTATATTGGCTTGTTAACAAAGGACGTGTTACCACTCTCGTGTGGCCATGTGTCAACACTAAGACAATCCCTTACCTGTTGTAAAACATATCAAGTACAGTCTGTGGATTATTATAATATTAATAATAATGAATGATTAGTGGTTTCCTTGTATTCTTATCCTTTACATACACGCAAACTGGGACCATCTGAATTTATCATGTTCTGTCGATTCATTTGTATGTCATACATACATACATACAGTATATATACAGGAATACAGCACATTACCTTCACCATATTGTTACACCTTACGACAGAGTTAAGACAAGCACATAGGGAAATTATCGAATTATTATACACCAAGGAGCCACCGACTGAGCTCTGCTCCGTACAGCGCCGCCGTCGCACTGATCCACGACGGCAACGCTGTCTTTGGTAAAATTTCCCTGCAAGGAGATGCGTCCCTCGCCGGGCAACACCAGAAGGCTAACACGTAGTGGGACATGACGAGGGAAGTGAGACCGAGGGGCAGCAGAAGCAAGAGACGCAAGGAGAGGGAAAGGTATGGAGGGGGACCCACAAGCCTCAGCTCAGTGGCTTCAGTATGTTCAAAGGAGAGTGGAAAACCCTCCACCAGCAGGCTAGCAACCCCAGAGAGGAGTGTAACAGGAGCCACCCACCGTCCCAACCCACAGCATTCTTCCCCAAGTCACCTATGCCTTCCTTAGAAACCCACTCCGACCCCAACCCGTTCTCGCAAATTTAATAAGTCAATATTGACTTATTAAATATGTGCATAGGTGACATACTTAACATAATAGATACCCTTAAAAAGATTCATAGAAAACACCGACCTTACCTAACCTTGTTAGTATCTTAAGATAAGCATCTTATTGCTTCGTAATTACAATTATTACTTAACCTATACCTATTATAGGTTAGGTAATAATTGTAATTACGAAGCAATAAGATGCTTATCTTAACATACTAAGTAGGTTAGGTAAGGTCGGTGTTTACTATGAATCTTTTTAAGGGTATCTATTATGTTAAGTATGTCACCTATGCACATATTTAATAAGTCAATATTGACTTATTAAATTTGCGAGAACGGGTTGCCGACCCCATGCTTCCACCTCCGCCCCCTTCAATGCAACCCAGGTCCCCGACTTCATGCCACCCCTTATTCCCCATCCCATGCCCCCCCTGCCCTCTCATCCAAGGGACACCAGCGGGTAACTGAGACTGGATAGAAGATTCAGCATCAAAGTAATGTACTCAAACATAGATGGAATTACAAAGAACGTGAACTTGGGGAAAGAGCACAAGTCTAAAACCCGGATGTAATACCACTCGCTGAAATGACACTATCATAACAAATGCAGTGTTTTATACACTGTAATAAGGCAAGAGAAGGAAGAAAGAGAAGGAAGAGTAATCCAACTGATAAGAAAGGACTAGAGTTTCGAGATGGTTATCCTGGGCTATGAGGGGTTCAGGGGCTACACAACAGGCACCAGGATAATGAGAGGACCAAGAATAGTAGTAACGATATCCTTAATTGACAGAACACCCAGGCGAGAGAATGACAGAAACAACATATGGCAGTTACGACTATAATTAAAATAGCAGCCTGTCACCTGTAGAAATTGGTCACGTTTGCATATTATGGCAGACTTCATCATGGAAAGATAGACTGGGAGAACAAGGAACCAAATAGAGGGAGTGTGGAAATATGGAGAGCTAAACTTTTGAACGTGGCAAAAAGAAACTTGTTAAGCCAACATTTCAGGGAACTCATTTCGGGCTATTCATGCCCGTGCCACCTCTTGGGTGGCTTAATCTTCATCAATCAATCAAGGGGACCCACAGGAAAGAGGCAACGACGAACCAGCTAGACCTGACCTGGAATTCACTTTGAACGAGTCAGACAGAAGGGAAATCAGAAGCTCGCGTGGGAATGAATGATCACAGTGTATTGATGATATGATATTCCTCGGTCGATATACAGCTTGTGCCTCACACACGTGGGGTCCAGAGTTCGAGTCACCTAGAGCCCAGATGAATGGAATTGGTGCTCGAGTATCTGGTAGAAGTGCTCAAGGAAGGGGGCCCAGAATACAAATGACTGGAATACCGAAAGAGAAACTATGAGATAAGAAAATTCCTAAAAGATATACCATGGGTAACAGCTCAGTGGAAAGGCTGCAGAAGACCTGATGGACTACGTCACCTACAAGTGTTAGGAGGCAACAGACAAGTTTGTCCAAGTCCAAAAAGCAAAACAACTACAAATGAGGAACCCCCATGGTTTCATCAGGAATGTTAAGGTGGCAAAGCAACTATGTACAAGGGCATGGAAAAACTACAGAAATAGGATACCAGAGAACAGAGAAAGATACCAAAGGGCCAAGAATAAGTACCTCAGTGTGAGAAGAGGCGCAGAAAAACAGTACGAAAATTAAATGGCAAATAAAGCAAAGACCCAACACAAATTGCTGCACAACCACATCAGATGGAAATCAACAGTGAAGGAACAGGTAATAAAACGAGGATAGGGGCAGATAGATTCACTACAAATGACAAGGTGGTGTGTGAGAAATGCAATAAGATGTCCCAGGATGTCTTCACTATTAACAGCACAAGGAGAATTTCCGGGACTAAGAGAGGGAATGTCTAACCAAGCACCACTGGAGTTGATATTACCAGTGGGGATAGGTAAGGAAGCATTTGCTTGAGATGGATATAGCAAAAGCTGTTGGCCCTTCTGGGTCAACAGCTCACCATGGATACTGAAAAGAGGGAGCAGCAGCACTATGCTTACCACTCTGAATGGTGTATACCAACTCACTGGCAACTGGAGAACTACCAAAAAAATGGAAGACGGCTAATGTAGTGCCGATATACGAGAAGGTAGAAAGACAGAAGGCATTGAACTACAGGCAGTGTCCCTGACTTGCATAACATGCAAGGTGATAGAGAAGATTGTGATAAAAAACTAGTAGAACATCTGGAGAGAAAGAACTTTAAACCACATCACCAGCATAGGTTCAAGGGACGGCAAACCTTGCCTTACAGGTTTAATAGAATTCAATGAGCAGGCGACGACAATTAGGCAAGAGAGAGAGAGAGAGAGAGGTGGGCAGGTTGCTGGGTGGGTATATTTTTGGATTGCCAGAAAGCCTTAGACACAGTACCCCATGGGAGACTAGTGCACAAGTTGGAGATGCATACAGGAATATCAGAGAATATACTCCGATAAGGGAGTACCTAAACAGCAGAAGACAGCGAGTCGCTATGAGGAGTGAGGTCTCAGAGTGGGGAGACGTTAATAGTGGAGTCCCACAGGTTCAGTCCTTGGACCTTTCTTGTTTCTGAGATATATAAACGTTCTCCCAGAAGAAATTGACTCGTTCCTCTCAATGTTTGCTGATGTGAAAAAATATTAGGTGGTTTAAGACAGAGAAAGATAGCATGAGGCTATAAGATGACCTGGACAAACTGAAGGAATGGTTTAATAAAGGGCTACTAGAGTTTAACTGCAGTAAATGTAAAGTAATGAAGCTAGGTGGAGGGAGCAGGAGGCCAGATACAAGGAAGCAAATGGGAGACAAAGTTCTCCATGAAAGGGACAGAGAGAGAAAGATCTAGGAGTTGATATCACGCAGAACATGAACAAATCAATACATTATAATATTGTCATTCTATATAGTATTGTATTCTATATTGCATATTGTATTGTATTATTGTATTGTATTGTATATATAGTATTATATAGTATATATAGTACTCACCAATTTGTACTCACCTATTTGTGCTTGCGGGGGTTGAGCTCTGGCTCTTTGGTCACGCCTCTCAACTGTCAATCAACAGGTGTACAGGTTCCCGAGCCTGCTGGGCTCTTATCATATCTACACTTGAAACTGTGTATGGAGTCAGCCTCCACCACATCACTTCCTAATGCATTCCATTTGTCAACCACTCTGACACTAAAAAAAAGTTCTTTCTAATATCTCTGTGGCTCATTTGGGCACTCAGTTTCCACCTGTGTCCCCTAGTGCGTGTGCTCCTTGTGTTAAATAACCTGTCTATCTACCCTGTCGATTCCCTTGAGAATCTTTAATGTGGTGATCATGTCCCCCCCCTAACTCTTCTGTCTTCCAACGAAGTGAGGTTTAATTCCCGTAGTCTCTCCTCATAGCTCATACCTCTCAGCTCGGGTACTAGTATAGTGGCAAACCTTTTAACCTTTTCCAGTTTAGTCTCATGCTTGACTAGATATGGACTCCATGCTGGAGCCGCATACTCCAGGATTGGTCTGACATATGTGGTATATAATGTTCTGAAAGATTCCTTACACAAGTTTCTAAATGTCGTTCTTATGTTAGCCAACCTGGCATATGCCGCGTGATATCAACCCCCAGGTCTTTCTCTCTCTCTGACTCCTGAAGTATTTCGTCTCCCAAATGATACCTTGTATCTGGTCTCCTGCTTCCTACCCCTATCTTCATTACATTACATTTGCTTGGGTTAAACTCAAACCACCATTTGTTCGACCATTCGTGCAGCTTCTCCAGGTCTTCTTGAAGCCTCAAGCTGTCCTCCTCTGTCTTAATCCTTCTCATAATTTTGGCATCGTCCGCAAACATTGAGAGAAATGAATCTATACCCTCCGGGAGATCATTTACATATATCAAACAAGATAGGACCGAGTACAGAGCCCTGTGGGACTCCACTGGTGACTTCACTCCAATCGGAGGTCTCACCTCTCACCGTAACTCTCTGCTTCCTATTGCTCAGGTACTCCCTTATCCACTGGAGCACCTTACTAGCTACACCTGCCTGTCTCTCCAGCTTATGTACTAGCCTCTTATGCGGTACTGTGTCAAAGGCTTTCCGACAATCCAAGAAAATGCAGTCCGCAAATAATATATAATGTGTGTGTGTGTGTGTGTGTGTGTGTGTGTGTGTGTGTGTGTGTGTGTGTGTGTGTGTGTGTGTGTGTGTGTGTGTGTGGTGTGTGTGTGTGTGTGTGTGTGTGTGTGTGTGTGTGTGTGTGTGTGTGTGTGTGTGTGTGTGTGTGTGTGTGTGTGTGTGTGTGTGTGTGTGTGTGTGTGTGTGTGTGTGTGTGTGGTGTGTGGTGTGTGTGTGTGTGTGTGTGTGTTGAGAGATGTGCTTTCATAATGTCGCCATCTTCGCTAACCTTCTTAAGAGCACATTAACAGCGTTGATCAGGCGCATCACTGTATTTATTAAACTTAATCAGTTCCCGACGCATTAATTATATCAGCTCCTGGGAGGCGGGTCAGGGGCCACACCGCCTCGCTCTCCCACTGACCCAGTCACGTCGTGGGTCAGTCAGGCCTGCGCTGCCAGGTTATCTTGAGATGATTTCGGGGCTTTCAGTGTCCCCGCGGCCCGGTCCTCGACCAGGCCTCCACCCCCAGGAAGCAGCCCGTGACAGCTGACTAACACCCAGGTACCTATTTACTGCTAGGTAACAGGGGCATAGGGTGAAAGAAACTCTGCCCATTGTTTCTCGCCGGCGCCCGGGATCGAACCCGGGACCACAGGATCACAGTCCAGCGTGCTGTCCGCTCGGCCGACCAGGCCAAACAATGACCCCATCGCGCCCATCTCGATATCGGGAAGAGGTGAACATCAGCCGTTATCATGAGGGGGGGGGGGGCTGAAGGGGCTCCAAGTGGCAGAGTGAAGGACGAGCCTGGAGGTGGAGCCCCAGTGGTGCTCACACTTGAAGACTCGGTCCCCAACGTCAGGAAACTGTCGTACTAAAGTGCCTTATCCTAACCTACCAGAGGACACACGAACAGAAAACGGGGCATTGTCAGTATCGCGAGCCGCTGCCATATTTTTACTAGTACGAGTTTTTTGGGGGGCTTTAGGTAAAAGTCTACGTCAAAATGCGACGCGCTTTTAGGCTGGCAAGAATATGGGGGGAAAAAAAGATAAGACAGGTGGGGGGGACTAATTGTGTTGGGGTTGTTGCCCCCCGTTGTTAGGGTGACACAGGGGACTACCATGCAGGGGTTATCGAACCAGGGACTTGCTCTCTCTCCTCTAAAGCGGGTTGTAAGCCGGGACAAGACCGTTTACATCGTCCGACTTAATTAAAACTTGAGGCAGTGCTGGTTCTCTTCAAGGTCAGCGCGTACGTCACCACCACAAGGTCAGTACACACATCAGTCTTGGTCAATACTGTATGGTTGGTCAGAGTGACGCGATGACGTCACGTTTGTGACCTATCGGACTCGTTCCAGACTAATTCCACCATTACTTACCGGTCATGACGACGTCACCATTACCCACCAGTCATGACGACGTCACCATTACCCACCAGTCATGACGACGTCACCATTACCCACCAGTCATGACGACGTCACCATTACCCACCAGTCATGACGTCACCATTACCCACCAGTCATGACACCGTCACCATTACCCACCAGTCAGTGTGATACACTCACGTATTTAGCCCTCAACAACAACAATGACTCCAGATACGCGCCTGCGCACTGCAATATGTAAATTAAATTATTTGATTCGATGTCTTATTTATTCACCAGATACAAAACATTTCAAAGACAAAAGCCAACAACAACGTGGACAGTATTTCATATTTTTTTTTATTCCAACACATTTTATGTAGAGACAATTTGATAAACACGGCACTAAGAGTGATCTCCTGCCCTTGTCCAGTCAATACTGCTGCAACCCAATGATAAGCTGGTAAGGAATCAGGAGCGGGTTTTCATTGGTCACACCAGAGGAAGACGCTTGCTTGCGTGAGGGAGGTGATGGGCAGAGTTCAGATAATAAAATTGTTGTCTGTGACAGAGCTGGTCACTTTGACTTGACGTGGACACGTATCGTGCCAAGTGTTCAACACTGTATATCTGGATATGACACTAGTCTACATTGAAGCATCTTGGTGGGTTCGATTCTCTCTCCTTCTCTGGGGGGTAAAGGGTGTAGGTGGGATGGAGTGAGTGGTATGTAGTAGTGGTGGTGGGTGGTGTGTTATGGTGGGTGGTGTAGTGGTGCTGGGTGGTCCGGTGCACATGGACTAGATTGTTGTTGACGTCACTATTAAATTTGCCTATTGCGAGAAAAGTATGATAGGTAGAATTTCGACAATTTTGGTGTAATCTTGTTAAGCCTTACAATATAGAAACAAATCAGTCAAGTCATAATGGTATTACAAGATTTATCATGTGGGGATACGGTTGGCACCGTCACATAGCACTTTTCTTTCATACCAATTACAACCTGCCCATGTTGGGCAGGTTCCCAACAGCAATTACTAGGAAAAATTGGGCGAGGCTAGCCCGAAGTCTCTGGCCTACAGCCTTGGACATACACTTTTATAGACAGACTAGATGGGGTACCTGGCAATGGCCAGCTTTATGGGCAACTTCCCCCCCCCCCCTCACCTCTTTTCAAACACATCCCCTTGCTTTCAGAAAAGGAAGTATTTTTTTTATTAGCATGAACTGCAATACAAGTCTAGGGACAACACCTCCAATATCTCAGACTACACATCATAATTTCAGGTGAGGAGGACGGCATTGGGTTCTTATATGCCAATGGGCGTGTTATATATACTTAATTTGCCCGTAGTGGCATAAATCAGATGATCTTTACACAGCTTTAAAAGTTTCTCAAGCCTCGCACCTGTCTCAGTAAGTGGGGGGGGGGGGGTTAGATGCCGATATTTCTTAAAGTGTGGCACTGGGGCTGACCCCGACTGGCCTATGACAGTCCCATACCGCACATACTTTGTGTCTAATAGTTGGATAAGGCCACTAGCTTTTGACTACTACGTTCTCTCTCTCTCATATTATACATACACACACACACACGTATATGCAGATTTGGGTAAATAAATATTTAATGGTACTTCTCTGTTGATCCTATTCCAAGCTGTGCATAATTAGAAATTAAGGCAGATATGAGCATAATAAAATTATAAATTTTTTATTAATTACATAAATGTCAAATAAATAAGTCACCTTGTACAAATTTTTTTATTTTACATGATTCACCATACTTTCAATTTTCACCATTCATTCATAAGCACTTGAGAGCAAAGAATACTGAGAGGGGGGGGGGGTGAAGAACTGTAGTGTTTCTTCATGATGTATAATGAAAACCTGTGGTAAGAATATTACTGTAGAATCCAATCAATTGCCACAAGCTTCTTTGTGATGAAATGATCATCAGATTCCTTCTCAACTTGGCATAGCAATACAAAATGTTTATCTGCTTTGCTAGAATTACATACAAAGTAGAGCATAAAAAAGAAAAGAATTATGTGACCAAGTGCAGCAGCAGCAGTAGGGAATAATTAGAGTATAATACAGATTGCACAAAAGGTTCGTTAACTTTGTAGTTCACACACAACCCATTGGCGAGCAATAATGCACACGTGTACACTATTACTCATTTTTTTCTTTTCCCCCTCACACAACCAGTTTCCTAGGTGAAGCAGCTCACACTTTGCTGCTGTGATGGTGTCCCGTGAGACAAGTATTCCGTGTGCAGGCGAGGAGTCACAATAACGTGGCTGATGTATGTTGACCAGACCACACACTAGAAGTTGAAGGGACGACGACGTTTCGGTCCGTCCTGGATGGTCCATGAGACGGACCGAAACGTCGTCGTCCCTTCAACTTCTAGTGTGTGGTCTGGTGAACAAGTATTCCGTGCTATTAGTGTTTGCACCGTTAATGTGTGAAGCCTCACTGTTGTCCCAGGCTGAAACAGTCGGTAGACACAATGGAAAATATTATCAGTTTTTTTATTTTCTTCCCTTTTTAACAAAGCAACAGGAACATTTCAAATACTTTAATTACTACAGTCATTACTAAGGCAATCATTAATAAATGACTGCAGCTTAAATACTTTAGTTATCATACTCTCAAAGTTTTCACGAGCCAAGAAATATGACGAGAATCGTCATATTTCCTGTTACATCACACTAGTTGAAGGGCTACAGGAGCCGTTACCGCTGCATCACCAGGCTGCGTGCCCACTCCTTCACTCCAGCACCAGTTGTAACACATAGTAAGTAATCATCAAAAAGAAGGCACCAAACCGGGAAGGTTATGTAGCACCATCAAATGCGCAGAATAATCAGAGGGCGCTAAATATCACCAAGGACGCCAATACGATTGTAACACAAAAATTAACCAAACATTGAGCACAAAGTTTACTCCACATATGACGGCTAAATATGCATCCAGTGTCAACGCCCTGTAACCAATTGTCTTTGAAAGAGTTATAGATTAATCTGGCACACTTTTTTTGCGGGGGGATAGCTTCCAACTGTGTTATCCATCAGACAACTGCAGCACTAGTAATCGAGTCACTATAGCACAATTACTCACGAGTGTTGTCAACAGAGGGAGTCATAACCATTGATATCGTCTCCACATACTGCGCTACCGATCTCCTCCTTGGGCACTTCGAAGCCCCTGATCTTCATGTAGTAGCCTCCGGAGGTGTCCTTGGCTAGGGTTGACATCTTGTCCTCTTCCTTGTCCTTCACTACTACTCTTATAATGTATACTTCATTCACTTTATCCTTTTCCAGCATCTCATCATTAGATATGGCGTTCGTTTGGCTTTTCAACAGCGCCTTTTCTTTGTACTTTTCATTCACTTTGTCCTTTTTAAGAACTTCTGCTCTTAACACTTCACTCTTTTTACTAATTCGCAGCTTATCATCACTGCTATTCGTTAAGGGATGTTCTCGAGATACACTACTGTTTGAGGCTTTTGAACTTGACCTATAACTACTAGTTTCACTTGGACTATTGCTATTTTTACGCCGAACTGGTCTTTTAAAAGGGTCATTATTCCATACACTGCTATCACTAAAACTGTTAATGTCTCTAGAAACCTTCCTTGAAACCTTTTCCTTCACTTTGTCTGCACTTTGGGAGTAACTAAGATTCGGTAAACTAAGTGGAGCATCACCTCGTTGGACGTTCCTGTTTCTCCAGGTGTAGTCACAGATTTCAGAGTACTGGTTCTCGGCCTCCTCCTCCTCCTCGTTCTCAGGTATTGGGCTGATATCATCAATCACACGGGAATAGTCCATGTTTTCTATAGACCGAGTTGTCACGAAGCTGCTTTCGCTTTCAGCTTTTTTCTCTACGTGTTTAGAGCTTTTCCCATTCTGTAGAACATACGTATTTTGCTTGGAGATCTTCCGGTGGTCAGAATTTTTCTTGTTTTCAAGGCTAGTATCTTTCAGTGGGTAGCCATTGTAGCTGTTACTCCTATCATGGTAAGTGAATTTAGTCTTTTCCACACTGTTTTCTCTGAGTTTAAAGTCCCTAAATCTATGCTCTTTGCTTTTGTCCCGACTCTTGTCCTTGTTGGTTTGGGACGACCTGCTCTCCCTGGACTGGTCACGCTCTCGACCTTTCTTCTTGTCGTGGTCAGACAGAAACGACAAACTAAGAGGTCGGACGCCAGACAGTGGTTCCACAAACTTGTCGCTCAGTGACCGGGTCAATGACCTTGACCTCTTCTCAGTCACATGATGAGTAACCTGAAAGTGCAAAACAAAACAAATCATTGTTACAGCTCCTTAAAGAATACAGCTTTAGGTTAATGACACCTCTTCATATATTTTTGAAAAGAATGAGGGACAAGATAAAATATTTTAGAAACGGTACTAGGTGCAAAAAAGTTTAAACCACAAGCACTATTGTACAATATATTGCACAAAGGAAATATTCGCAAGCACAAGGGTTTGATGGCTGAATAAGAAAGGAACACAGTGTTCGTAGAATAAGAATAACTTTGAACAAGATAATCAATGAACATGCAAGAGCAACAAAAAGAGTAAGTTTCAAGTGGCAGATAAGAATCTTAATCGAATTACAACAGGAAAACTTAGATTAGACTCAGTCAACTATTATGAAGCAAATATTTCTTATAGATTAAAGCACAAGAAAGATATTGTTTTAGCTCCAAAAGAAGACTTACAAGCACCAGAGGAGGACAAGTCATGCACTATCGGATCCAGTCGAGGCCCACCTTGATCTGCCTCCTCCAGGCGTCAGCCTCGTCCTCGCAGTACGAGACGGTCTTGAGGAAAATTGGCGTCTTGGGGAATATCGGGTCCTTTACCGGCGTCAGCACGAAGTTGGACGACACGTCGATCTCGAACAGCGTGGCTTGAGCCTCGTTGGTCATGGTACACGCCAAGATCACCGCCTCCTTCTGCGCCTGCTCCAGACGCAGCACACCTGCAGTGTGACCACCAGTTAGACCAGTACTCGTCATGACGGAGCAAGGATGAAGCTATTAATACAAGACACCACTTTCCAGTAAATATGGAAGCTACAATCTACAAGTAAAGCTACAAGCGACCACCTACCGGTAAAGCTACAAGGGACGCGAGGCATGTAGCCACAAACAAGGCGGACGGTGAGGGGCAGCTTATGGTTCTTGAGGATGTGGGCCATAAGGTAGACGTGGTTGGGGTTCTTGCTGGTCTTGTGGGCCGTCGTGTAGAACCGACCAGAGGCAGAGAACGGCAAGAACACAGCCTGGGGAAATTGCAATACATGAAAATATATAAAAACAGAAAACTCTATTTTTGCCGTATTGACTAATGAGATCGTAGGACTAAATAAGAAAAGCATCTATATTGATCACTATCCTCTCACCAGGGAGGATAGTGATCAATTATAATATAGATGCCTATATTAAAATTATTATTTTATATGTCGTACCTATAACCAAAGTTACTTAAGCCGAATTTTCGTGATGTATTAATTGTTTCCAACGTTTTTTATCTTTAGCCACTTTATTGTGACTCATCATCTGCATTATAGATTATTATTGTTATAGAACAACCAATCTAGAAAAAATATTTGAAAATAATAAATTATTTAGCGAGTTCAGCAAATCTGATCTTTCATGCTACACCAAGTATTGCGGTTCTGGCTATTAGGCATGACATACTAGCAATTATTTGATTTATTTGATTTAATATATATATATATATATATATATATATATATATATATATATATATATATATATATATATGAACTAGTGACCGAGTCAAAATAGGTTATTAACGGCTAATAACGACACTACACTCTGATAAATTCGGTTATCGAATTAATGATAGTGCCAGATTATAGCTAAACGGGTGACCCATATAACCTCCTTTAATAATATCACCAAAGCCAGTGGATTAACCCCATTCATACCTAATTGCAACAACAATGCACTTGACCAAATATAGAAATTACATATTTTTGTGATTTCATTTTTCCATGTCCCTCAATCTCATCAATAGCACGGGAAATATTGGTTAATAATTTGTATCCATGTCTAATCAAACTACGAGTACAAAATACAATAAAGGAAAGTTTTAGATCAAAAGAGTAGACAGCATAAAGGCAAACCTACAAACTCGTGTAAATCCCTGCAATGGCCTTGCAATGGCCTTGCAATGAGCCGGAGAAAACACGATGTTCATTTAAAAATATGTTCCAACTACTTCAATATGAGAAAAACTAAAATATCAAAACTAAAACCTACACATAAAACGCAGATAAGCGACACTACAGTAAAGAGGTGAGTTAGGTTGACCAGACCACACATTAGAAGGTGAAGGGACGACGACGTTTCGGTCCGTCCTGGACTATTCTCAAGTCGATTGTTTCGGTCCAGGACGGACCGAAACGTCGTCGTTCCTTCACCTTCTAATGTGTGGTATGGTCAACATACTTCAGCCACGTTATTGTGAGTCATCGCCTGCAGATGAGTTAGGAGTAATCATGTGGGAAGACCTGGCTTCTAAAAGCAACAACACTGTTGAGGTCACAACTGCAAGATAAATTATAGGCTGAATAACAAAATGTGCCAAACGAATGATGGTATTTTTTTATCCATAGTGCTCGCTGGAGTGTTATGCCTGATCAACCGGGCTGTGATCATTGTGTGTATATATCATTAAATGTACTTAATATTTGGTTTGATTACACTTGTTTCAGTCAATGACTTTCAAGAGACTACCTTCCTGCCATTGTCCTGATGACCTGTGAGTGTATACACACACGTTAGACATTGACCTTTTGGAATGTTGTAATAATAATATTTGGCCACTTGTACAAATATTTACTAGTTTTTCGAATAAAAACAGTTTCGAAATATTTTGCATGGTGACTTGATAAATTATGCCACGAGTAGAAGCTGGCAAGTTTGTATTAATAACTCCTAAACTGGACTAGCATTCACTAGAGACCACAATAATGTAGACACCATTCAATTATTAAACTTGTTGCCCCTTCACATGTTAAATGGATGCTTCATTGTTACTGTATGACCGCCTCTCTTGTTCTGGGATTATAACATTTTCTTGGCATTGATTGCACTGTAAACAAATTTGGGGGACTATTGAAAATTAAGAGTCGTCTTATTGTGTTGGTTCCTCATCAGGGACAGAAAACATTACTCGACTTCTCATGGTAATAGAATCCGTGTGTAGACGAGGAGTCGCAATAACGTGGCTGAAATATTTGTTGTGCTAGAACCATACACTAGAAAGTGAAAGGACGACGACGTTTCGGTCCGTCCTGGACCATTCTCAAGTCGATTGTTTCTGTCCAGGACGGACCGAAACGTCGTCGTCGTCGTCCCTTCACTTTCTAGTGTGTGGTTTGGTCATTAATATAAGCCGTGTTTACCTTACTAGTAATCTAAGGCTTACGTGTTTACATATTAAAAATTCTTCTGAAAGCCTGTAAAGTGATTCCTTAATAAATCAAGACCAGTCATCGAGAGAAAGCAAAATCCCCGAGAATCAAATCAACATTACAATAGGCGACGAATGATCGACCTACCTCGTTCTTGTAGTTGAGACACTGAGCAAACTTGTCGCAGTTGAAGACCGACATGGCGTCACGACCTCGACCTCCGCTGTTGGTGTTCTTGGCGTTGAGGTCCTCGAAGACCCCGGTGAGCTTGAGCACGTGGCCACTCTGTACCACCGTCTTCTGGTAGGAGACGTGGCCGGCGTCTGTCAGGACACGAACATGACAAGGTTATGTATGCACCATTTACGCCACGTTTCGCGCTATGGACACGGATGATTAGTGCAAAAATAAATGTCTGAAGGGCATGGAAATAGGGAGGAGGGGGAGAGGGGGTAGTGAGGGATGTGGAGGAGAAGGAAGGGGGGTAGTAACCTATGTGTAGTTACAGGATGAGAGCTACACTCGTGGTGTTCCGTCTTCCCAGCACTTTGTCATGCACGAAATTTTGAAACTACTGACGGTTTTGGCCTCCACCACCTTGTCACTTGTTCCAACCGTCTACCATTCTGTCTGCAAAAGTGAACTTTTTCCGGCTGCTTTGTTTCCTTTGTTAAAACCTGACCTCTTGTTCTTGAAGTTGCAATTTTCAAAAAGTCTTTCAGTGTGCGCGCGCAAATGCGAAGTGTGCGCGTATGTGCGCGCGATCGCATGCGTACTCTCCTAGATGTACTAGCCTAGATGTGCTTGCAGGGTCGAGCTAGGAGGCTCTTGGCCCCGCCTCTGAATTTCCTTAGATTAATGTAATGCCCCATTTCTCTCGCTTTTATCATATTTACATTTAAAACTATGATTCGAATTGGCTTCAACGACTTCTACGTCTAACCTGTTCCATTTATTGACAGCTCTGAGTGAAACGGTTCCTTCTGACGTCTCTGACGCATTTGCGTCTCTAGTTTCCATCTATGACCCCTGGTTCTGCTGTTTCTAGCTTCGAACAATGCTATTTTGTCTACAGCGTGCGTGTGCGTGCGCGCTTGCTTGCCTAGTTGTACTCGCCTAGTTGTCCTTACGAGTCGAGCTGTGGTTCTTTGGTCCCGCCTCTCAACTGTCAATCAACTGGTGTACAGATCCCCGAGTCTACTGGGCTCTATCATATCTACATTTGAATGTGTATGGAGTCAGCCTCCACCACATCACTTCCTAGTGCATTCCATCTGTTAATTAAATTAACTACTCTGACACTGAAAAAGTTCTTTCTAACGTCCCTGTGGCAGATTTAGATACTCAGTTTCCACCTGACCCCTCTTTGTTCATGTACCACCCGTGTTAACAGTTTATCCTTGTCTACCCTGTCAATTCCTCTGAGAATTTTGTCAGCCGTGATCATGTCTCCCCTTACTCTTCTGTCTTCCAGAGTCGTGAGGTGCGTTTCCCGCAGCCTTTCCTCGTAACTCATGCCCCTTAGTTCTGGGACTAGCCTAGTGGCATACCTCTGAACATTTTCCAGCTTCGTCTTGTTTGTGCTTGACAAGGTACGGGCTCCATGCTGGGGCCGCATACTCCAGGATTGGTCTTACACATGTGGTACACACAATTCTGGACGATTCCTTACACAGGTTCCTGAAGGCAGTTCTGATGTTAGCCAGCCTTGCATACGCCGCCGATGTGTGCGTGTGGGTGGGTGGAGGGGAAGAGGGGGGGGAAGTTTGGTCTCGGGGAAGGGGTGGAGGGGGGGGTGGAGGGGAAGAGGGGGGACAGGACCTGCCTCTAGATACAGAGATGTATTCTAGCCGAGAAGATGACATGATATGTATGAGCTACAGCCGGGAACACAATACACCAAATTGTTACAGAAACACGACCTGATCTAACAGGCTCATCGACACATCCGGTCGACACGTGACCCCATGAACCGTGGCAGCTGAGGGAGGGGAGACGTACCGTCGAGTGTGGTGGTGTAGGCTGGCACGTCGTAGCGGGTGAGGAAGAAGGAGAGCCGGCTGCTGGCGACCTGCTCCACGGTGGTGAGGTGGGTGGCGGTCTGGCCCTCACTCGTCATGATGGCGAACCATCCTGGTCACCACCCCCAAGAGAAACACACACGGTCAATACTTGCAATAACATACACAGCATAAGCATCACAATATTACAGCAGCACTCGTCAAGAAACTGGAGCGCCGGAATTACTAAAAACTAATATCCAGAGCATTTCCTAATTGGTCAGGATATCGCCTGAACGCGTATAGATATCATGCTATCTTTGATAGAGCCTTGTTAACCATGCACTGCCAGGTGTCTTTAAAAGCTGTCATCTTGCCAATGCATTGAGACCGTTGGGGCTGACAATCTCCAACTGGGCCAGCAAAGTCATAGACGACATTACTCTCTTAAGCAGTGTCGGTTGGAGGGAGATCTATCCCCCCCCCCAAAACCCCCCCCCCACCCCTCACCACTACAGAGAATCGAGGAGAGTCACTCACCTGTGTAGGACTCTGGGATGACGATGGCGGGTCCCACAGGGGTAAGTCCTCCGTCCTTCCCAGGCCGCAGCGACACGCCCCGGACCTGCCGGCACCAAGCCACAAGTTAGCCTTAATGTCATTACTGTCACACTCATTACTGTCATTATTTAAGACGCCGCCCTCGGGACCGGGAGGCTGCTAGCAGCTCCACACGACCCCTCGGGTCCGGGAGGCAGCAGCCTAACACCGTCACCAGAAGGCTAACGTAATCCCAACATTGACACCGAGCCTAATTCCGGATTCCAGGAGGTCTTCACATTAGAGCAAAGAGAGAGAGAGAGAGTCCCTGTACTGAGAGAGGAGGCGACATACCAAGCAACCTCGGAGGAATTTGAGCTCAACAATGATTAGATCAAAAGGAATCTGTTGGAGATGAATGTGCCAAAGGCTGCTAGGCCTGACAATCCCACCATGAATACTAAAAGAGGGTGCAGAAGCACTAAGGTGTGCCACTCTCTATAGTGTATAACAGGTTACTGGACACAGGAGAAATACCGGAAAGCTGGAAGAGAGATAATGTAGTCCCAATATACAAAAAAGGGTGACAGGCAAGAGGCACTGAACTACAGGCAAGTGTCCCTAACTTATATACCATGCAGGGCGATGGAGAAGATCGTGAGGGAAAGGCTCTTAGAACATCTGGAGGGAACGTTTTGTAACACACCACCAGCATGAATTCAGGGATGGTAAATCGTGCCTCACAGGCTTAATAGAATTCTATGACCAGGCGACAACAATTAGACAAGAAAGAGAAGGGTGGGCAGACTGCATTTTCTTGGACTATCAGAAAGCCTTTGACACAATACACCATAAAAGGCTGTTCCAAAAGTTGAATAAACAGGCAGGAATAAAAGGTAAATTGCTCCAGTGGATAAGGGAGTATCTAAGCAACAGGAAACAAGGAGTAAGTGTAGGTGGAGAGACAACGAAATGGCGAGATGTCACCGGAGGAGTCCCAAAGGGATCTGTATTTGGACCCATCCTGTTTCTGATACATGTAAACGATCTTCCAGAGGGTATAGACTCATTTCTTAAAATGTTTGCCGATGCAAAAATTATGAGAAGAATCAAGACTGATGAAGATAGACTACGGGACGACCTGGACAAACTGGAGGAATGGTCTAGAAAATGGCTACTAAAGTTTATCAGAGGAAAGTGTAAAGTAATGAGATTAGGCGAAGGGAGCAAAAGGCTGAACACAAGGTACCTTCTGGGAGGTGAAATTCTGCAAGAGTCAAATAGATAAAGAATTAGAGGTTGATATCACACCGAACCTGTCCCCAGAAGCCCACATCAACAGGATATCAACGGCATATGCTAGATTCGCCAACATAAGAACTGCCTTTAGAAACTTGTGTAAGGAATCTTTCAAGACTTTGTATGTCACTTATGTCAGACCAATCCTGGAGTATGCAGCCAGCCCGAGTCCATACCTAGTTAAACTAAAGACACACATAAGATTCAGAGGCATGCCACCAGACTACTCCCAGAAGCAAGAGGCATGAGCTACGAGGAAAGACTACGGGAGCTAAACCTCACGTCCCTGGAAGATAGTAAGGGGAGGCATGATCACCACCTACAAAATTCTCAGAGGAATTGACAGGGTGGACAAAGAAACTATTTAGTATGATAAATAGATAGCACAAACAAGGGGACACAGGTGGAAACTTAGTACCCAAATGAGCCAGACACATTATAAAGAATTTGTTCAGTGTCATAGAAATTAACAAATGGAATGCATTAGGCAGTGATGTGGTGGAGGCTGACTCCATACACAGTTTCAAATGTAGATATGATAAGAGCCCAGTAGGATCAGGAACCTGTACTCCAGTTGAAAGGCGGGACCAAAGAGCCAGAGTTCGACCGCCGCAAGCACAAATAGGTGAGTAATGCAACATTGTTCAATGCCACCCCTCGTTTATTTTAATGCAAGTAGTTTATCGTAGATAAAAAAAATTACCAAAGATATTAACTCAATAAAAATATATATTACTCTCTTAACACTAATTTGTCGAGGCACTTTGCTGCCTGTTGCAAGTGGTCACTTTCGTAACAATTGCGATACAAAACCTGCCGTCAAACAGCATGTCCCTCACCTTGGACGTGTCTTCTTGCAAGATCAAAACGGATGTCAAGAAAAAGAAAAAACTTCTACACATGAAAAATTAAAAAAAAATATATGAAAATTATGAAAATGTATGAAAAAATATTTTAAGAGTTCCACCATGGTGGAAAGGTTGGTTATCATTAGTACAAGGTTATCATACCATCAGGTTATTAGTACAAGGCTATGGCTATCATACCAGGAGGTTATCATTAGTACAAGGTTATCATACCAGGAGGTTATCATTAGTACAAGGTTATCATTAGTACAAGGTTATCATTAGTACAAGGTTATCATTAGTACAAGGTTATCATTAGTACAAGGTTATCATTAGTACAAGGTTATCATACCACTGTTGACTTTTGCTCTCGGAGTTGAGGAGGAGTCAGACTAGAAATTACTATGTCCAAACTCGATAGCGTTACCCATCTAGACAAACTGGGCTTTGATCCAGTCCTAAGCTGACCCGACTTGACCTTAAAGATTATTTGGCACGAGCACTTGCCTTTTACCACAAAACTTGCGAGCCACTCTGGTTAATAAAGGTCGTTCCAACGATATTCGTATTAATGAAGACCAAAGATGAACCTTTCAATCAACAAAGATCACATTAATCGCTCAGATCGCGGAAGGTGAAGACAAAAAGAACAATTACGACATGTCTTAGTTCAAGAAGGTCGTTCACCGTCGTCTTGTTCTCTCAAAACTCTTAATTCAAAGATAATTTAAATGGCTATTAAGTCATGAATCGCTCAGATGAAGGATTTAACTAACTAGAATATAATTAATCGAGTGGAACAATTTACAAGATCAACTCTGACCATGGGAGATCATGCAGTGGCGGTCGGTTAAGAGCCAATCAGGTCAGTGAAGGTCATTTAAGAGCAACTCGTATTATGGAAGGTCATCCGTTGGCACTCCGATGACCCGGTCAGGTAAGGGGGCCGGGGAAGGGTGAGGGGGGGGGGGGGACTAAGCAGTAACAAACGGGTTAAACTGATCTAATGTTTATTTTCAGCAGAGAGCAGAGACGTGGGTGGGCCGGCTGGTAGCTCCGTAACTCAACGTAAACAGGGACTCGCAGCAGCCGGCACGTAGGCTAGCCTACGCGGCAAGTGAAAGGGACTATAGGCCTATTACAACACCAAAAAAAAAAAGCTTTATCACGATGAATATAAAAAACGAAAAAGGGGGTTGGCTTATATAACAAGTGAGGCTCGTACTAGCAAGTGAAAATGATCACTGGGCTCGTAAAAAGTGAAAATAGTTGCTCGAGTGTGTCAAGGTTGAGAACCTTTAGGATAAAAATAGCAAGAACGGATTGAAAGTTGCACGTTACGGTATATATACTCCATGACACCACATGGGATCAACGTGGTCACTACCGCCGGGAAGCCGGGCTTCCTGCCAGGGCAGCAGCAGCAGTGCCAGAGAGGCTCTACTCACCTTGGTGGAGTTGTAGGTGTTGTAGAGAAGTAGTGGGCGGGAGAGGTCGAGGCCGGGCGGCGCTGTGGGCGTGTGGAGGTGGGCGGCCGCGGGCAGCTTGTGTCGCTTCAGAAGGTTCTTGGGAGTAAGGGCCATGCCAACGGGCACGAGGTGCGGGGTGAGGCCGGACCCGCGCCCCACCGACGACCCAGAGGAGTGGGTGGACATCCCCGAGGGGTGGGCGGTGGGCGTGCCGAGGTGTGGGCGGGGTGCGGGGGGGGGTAACTAAACACACTATAGGGTGTGACAGACTCACCAGGTGCCACCACACAGTATCAGCCCTGGAGGCTCCACGCAGGACATTCTAACACTGTCTGCCGACAACAATGAGCTATCACAGATTCCTTTGTAATGCTATCTCGAGTGCCTTGTGTGTCGACCAGCGGTGCTGCTGCTGGGCCTGTCCCTACCTGTGGCAGGCGACGGGTGGTGTGGGCGTGCTGCCAACCACTCGGCTAGCGGGCTACACAGCCCTGTCCACCTGCTCCAGCACAATGCTTCCTTCCCGATTCTCTCCACTAAACACACTTTTTTCTCCAATCTCTGTTGCTGACGAGATAAACTTCACCGATCTGATCACCAGGCACTGGTTCTGTTCACTGTAGTTACCCAACAACGATGTACAGGGCAGCACTCGTGTGGAGGAAGGTAGGCAAGAGGAGTCACAGCAGAGGTACCAGAGAGGCAGCGAGAGGGCTGCTGCACACGACCTCCCCGCGCGGCCGCCTGGTCACAACTGGGCCGCGTCTCCACTCCTCACTTGATCTTGGCCTGGAATCTGGAAAATCAGAGGAATTATTGACCAACTCTGGAAGACACCAGTATTTCCCGTTGGTGCGCGTGGCGGCCACGCTGCTCCCGGTCATAATGCTCATGTAGCAACAATGTGCCCCCAGCTATGCTGCTCTACTTCTCCCTCCACACCTGGATAACTATTTTCCATGAACCCCCGAGGACCTTTTGTTATGGATTTTGCTTTTGTCTTACCACAAACTTATCTACATTACCCCATTTCTTCAATTAAAATATTCGCTACCATTGATCCCACCAATCAAGCCGTAAAACCACGTACCGTAAAGGGGGAAATTATTCACCATACGAATATAAAAACCAGAGTTCTTGAAAATCCATGAGCTACAAAACCACCCAACTCTTGGGTCCTGACCTCTGTGCTCGCGCGTCTGGCAGAGAGGGAGGCACGCTGCCGGGTGGGCACTGGCCTGCCTTGCCTCCCCCCCGCCACTCAGTACCAGTAGCTACTGGGTGACGCAATGTGGCGCTACACCTCACCGGAACTCTCCCACACCGACGGACTTTCCGGCACTCGCATACCAGAGGACACGTGGAGGATCCGGGGGAGCCTTGGGCGACCATGAAGGTCTTATATGCTAGCCACACGTAGTGCAAAATGACGCATCGGTTGACTCAGGCACTAAGGGAACATTCACCCATGACTGTAGTTCGTCATGAAATCCTGCTACAGAGGTGTTCCCAGAAGCGATACACCTTGTTAAAACGTAGAAGGCTAAACCACAGACTCGTCCTCTTCAAGGTTTCGTAGAAGAGAATATGCTGTATGACTTCACTAGGGGGGGGGGGGTCGAAGAAGGAAATGTGGAGATAAATACGAACAGGGAAAAAGTCAAAAAGAAAAGAAAAAACATTTACGAACACACAATGGAGAAAGATAAAGAAGCACAGTGAGAGACGGACAAAGGAACGAACAAGAAGAGAAATATGCAAATAGTTAGAAAAAACTGTGAGCAAGGAGAGTGGTTGATGACGCGAGGCTCGTCACTGACCACAACTATATAACAACTGACAACCAATCATATCTGTTACGGGCTCACCATAGCCCGTGCTACATGGACACTTCGTTCTGAATAGCTAAACCTAAAAACAACAACTAATCATATCTGCCATTCCCATCGAGTATGGACTAAGACCTGAGCAATTTCTCACCAGTACGCCATCGCGAAGAAATAAACCCAACCAATCCTATCCTATCCTAACCAAAATAAGAGAATTTTAGCGTTTTATTTTGCTATGCAAAATGGCCTGGTCTGGTCGACAACCGGGCCACGGGGTCGCTAAGCCCCGAAATTACCTCAAGGTAACCTCAATGTATGCACAATGGTATGACATCAGCCGTCTGCAGTAACGGTCTACTGCTGTCATCAGGGAAGGGGAAACTCCGGGCTTTAAGAACGGGGTCACTGGCAGTTATGTTAGTTACGGGTTATTCATGCCCGTGTCACCTCTTGGGTTCCAGTATTCATAGAGCAGTTACAGGGTTCAGCGTACCTCAGCCCAGGAGGACGCAAGTCAGTGCTCCACTTGATATATTGGACTTGTACCCAAGAATGACCATGTAATGATAAAACTATCCATTTCATTATGTAGGAATTAATTTTTTAAAATTTGAGTTAAAACTAATGTATATATATGACCGAACCTAACCAACCCGACCTAACCTAACCTATCTTAACCTAACCTAAACTAACACAATTAAGTCAATGATTTAAGTTATTAATATAATAATAATAATTCAAATAAACTAATTTGAAACAATTTATTGAAAATAAAGAAAATCACTGCTTATTAGCCAAATCGGGCCCTGCATAGTAAGCCGAGAAGTGTGTTCTGGCTACTAGGTACGACATACTCACACACACACACACACACACACACACACACACAGAGTGGAAGCTGGTCAGAATTGCATTTCACCGTTGTAAATGCACGTTAATGACACTATGTAAAAGACAAATCTAACACTATGTAGGGCAGACGTAAATCTGTATCTATATATATATGTAGGTTAGATTAGCATTTTAAAAGCACTACAATCACCTCCTGTGGTTGATTGTTCAATAAATCCCTGAACTATATGTTTAACAGATCTCTCACCCTGTCCATGGAAGACAGAACTAAAATGTATATATGCTGGTTAGCATTGTAAATGTGCTGCCACGTCTGCGGTAGAAAATATAAAAAAAAAACTCTTGGATGGCTTAATCTTCATCAGTCAATCAATCAATCATATTGGATCACTCGGGTACCTAACCCAACTCACTCTCGCAACCTGGTGGACAGCACTGGGGGGGGGGGGGGGGGGGGAGGCGTAGTCCAAAGGGCTCGGGTTTGATTCCCGAGCCGAGGCAGAGACAAATGGACGGGCTTTCTTTCTACCTGATGCACCTGCTCGCCTAGCACTAAACAGGTACCTGGGAGTTCGACAGCTGCCACTGGTTGCATCCTGGGGATGTGTGTAAGTGTGTGTTTTAGAAGATAGTAGACATCTTAGAGGAAACGTAGATTGGCTAGAAAAGTGGGGTCCAAGAGTTAAGAGCTCAATTCTACAAGCACTTGTAGAAAAGAGAAAGATACCAGTCGCTCCTGGAGCTCAAGCTCTCAAATGTTTCTTAATGAGGACGAGTTCAAATTATCAAGGAAGAGTCATCTGTGTCCAGTCTTGTGTTAATTAATCTGCTACTTACTATTATCAGCAATGTATCAAAGACTAACGTTATATATTTCCATTTCAAATAATCTATACCAGATCTGTGTACGTCAGACTGTCCTCGCCTGCTTATATGTTGTCTTTACAAAACCTTTGTCTTTATTTATTTGAAAGTCCATAGAAATAAAAACATTATGAAATAATAAAATTAGATTATATTTATAAATATATTAAGAATGACGGTGGGTTGCACCATCACCCCTTTGGGTCTTTTTAACTGTTCAACCTTTCGGTATTTTCTTTTTCCATTCATTCTTATACAAGAATGTCCTTCCTCTCTCTCTCTACTACTACTACTTCTCCTCCTCTTCTCTCTACCCCCCCTCCCACCATTCTTGTGTCCACAGTAACTCCAGCACTTCTCATGCTCACTGTGTCTACTCTTCCTCCTAATCTCTCTCTCCCCCTCCCTCCCTCGTCTCCACAGACCTCTGCTTCCCTCACCAGCTACAATATACCACGACACCTCTGACTGCCCCTACCCAATGCATCTTGGATAGTAGTCTCGTCCGTACCCCCCCCCCGCCCCCCTCCCTCCACCTTCCTCTCTTATTCCGTCCGTCTCTCCGCCCCCTTCCTCTTACCGTGTCCCAGCCTGCCCCCCCCCTCACACCCCCCTTCTCCCCCTCCTGAATGAGGAGGAGCGAGCCGAGTGTTGAGACTCGTCTCTGTGCATGACGGAATGTGGTGATCGAGGACCCTCTGCCCTCGCCCTTTACCTGTCTACCCCCCCCCCCACCCAAGACTGTCTACCTCTCCACGCACGACCTGGCCACGTCTCCACGCACGACCTGGCCACGTCTACACGCACGACCTGGCCACGTCTACACGCACGACCTCTAGCAGTCATATTTGTTATATTCCCGACAACTGACAGAGCCTTTAAGATGAAACTTGACGAGTGCCTGCAGGAGGTTCTGGTCCAATTTAGGCGTGTTAGCAGCACCTGCGGGCTGCTAACACAAATAGTCACCTTGACCAGACCTTAAATAGTGTTGAGTGGAGGGGAAAAAAAACTAATCCGGTCACTGTTAAACAGATAAGCTTCATATTGTCTTCATAAACTTTTTTTTCGGTTTTCAAGTCTCTCTCATTATCCTTATTAATGGATATAACATTATCCTTATTAAGCCTCATTAATTCTTATTTCAAGAGTTTTCACAATCGGATTTCATTCAGATATCTTCAGTGAAATGTGGAATTGCATTTGTTGCAGCCTGAAGCGCCTGGGAGGTCCTGCTTTAATTATATTTCATTTATATATGAAATTTACATTTAATGTATACTTATAAATCTGTTTATTTTGGTATAGTTGAATCTAAAAATCAAACCTCTCCTACTGGACGGGACGGTAGAGCGACAGCCTTGTATCTTGCAAGGTCGGCATTCGATCTCAGATGATTCAAGTGCTTGGGCACCTGACCTTCCCTCCGCCCTCATTCCTTCCAAGGGCTATAGAGTCATACTGACTTACGGAGTTTTATCACGATAGTTTTACTGACTTTATTCCCTCCTGCAGTGACGAGACGGCGCCTTTAGTCATTTCTCGTAACTCTAACCTCTCGCCTCCGGGACCAGTCTGGAACTTAATTACCTGTAGTTTCTCCCCTGAGTATGGCAAAAGCTCTACATGCTGGCGCTGGCATGATGAACGCTGTACACACAGTTCTACAAGACTTTGTTCTGATTTGTGTGTTAATGCATTACATTAACCATCAATATATATATATATATATATATATATATATATATATATATATATATATATATATATATATATATATACACAGGCGACTATATCCGGTGAGTGAGTGAGTGGCGTCTACCTGGATCTCATCTACCATACTATACTAACATTTGAAATAACAATATATATATCATTTTGCCTGATCTGCGTAATTCTCCCGTGTTAATACACCGTCGCTGCTGAAGCTCCCAATGCAGACGACAGTAAGCTTAACTTGTAGATAGAAGCACATACATATTTGAGATATTTCATGAGGTTACTACATCTGATATTATACACGTTTCAGTTAACAAATTTGTATATGTAACCGTCTTGTTCACCACTACCACAAGGCAGGGATCGTCTCACGAGACGTGCAGCCTAACGAATAATAAACAACATTATCGGTCTCCATTCTTAAGAATGGACTAGGGGCCAGATTCACGAAAGAACTTACGCAAGCACTTACGGACCTGTACATCTTTTCTCAATCTTTGGCGGCTTTGTTTCCAATTATTAAACAGCTAAT